AGTTAAAAATTTCTTTTTTGACAAATTTATGAAACGTTCTTTGAGGTTTAGTATGAACATAAAGTTAATTAAATGTTTTGTACATCCACGTAAAATACCGAGAAGTTTTACTATTGGAGTCGGAGTCGCAACTTTGTTTAGCGACTCCAACTCTGCTGAAAATGTCTCAACTCCGCAACTCGGACTCCACAGCCCTGGTGATAACTTTTGTGTATTTTTCTTTGGGCTTGGCTCAAGAGCAATTCTTGATATTTCCTTTTGTAAAAGATTACAATATAAAAGAATTTTGTTTAACTACTAAAGGTAAAGTTGACCAAATGCTACACACATGATTTATCGGATCATAATATTATTAATAATCCATTTCTATTTTTTTATACTTATCTTTTACAATTATTTTAAAACAAAAACAAATTAATAAAAAAGTCCTCCACATTAACATTCAGTGGTGTAAAATTCAAAACTACTCACATTAAAACTTGAAACTCTTTGACAATATGAACTTTGCTTGGTTTTATTGTGTTCATCAATAAAATGTGAAGAAAAAACATCTTCTTCGATCTCTGAATCTGATAACAACTCTATTCAAAAGAAATAACAGTAATTTGAACTATAAATAATCCCTAAATTATACCTGTTACTTAATTTAATCTTTCAACCAATTTTGTACTCTTTCAATTTCTGAATTCAAACAATTTCAGCATGCTTTCAATCGATTTTCAATTTTCATATCAAGTTGATTAAAGGATTATATAATACAATAGAATGGTGTCAAATATATAAATATATGTAACCAATTTAAGAACATTACATATAATAGGACACCCAAATAGTTAAAATAAAAGGAAAATCTTAGTAATACATAAAAAAGACTAATAGCTAGATATTATTCAGATCATTAGGCTTTTGATCATAAGAGTATTCATTGTACAAAATCGATGACTCATGATGGTCAAAATATTCTTTTAGATTTTTGTAAGATAAGAAATCATTTCTTTTAGAAGTTCCAACATTTGATTTTTTATCTATATGTACTGATGAAAACTCTAGTATTTTTAATATTCCTTTTGAACACGTCTACTGCGTCTCTTTTCGTAAGCCCTTTTTGTAAAAGACATAAATGAATCTTGGTTCCTCAATAAAAACAATAAGTGCAAAACCAATAAAACAATCTTTTGTGATATTGAAAAACACTCATATATATATATATATATATATATATATATATATATATATATATATATATATATATATATATATATATATATATATATATATATATATATATATATATATATATATATATATATATATATATATATATATATATATATATATATATATATATATATATATATATATATATATATATATATATTTTTTTTTTTTTTTTTTTTTTTAATTACATTATCTTTTATTCTAAAAATAAAAATATCAACTTGAAAATAATAATTTTATAATATTTCTGCATAATAAATTTCAAATCACAAGGATTTTATCAAAAATGCGAAGCATCAAATCATCGAAATATTTTGTGAACTATAATAGCATGTTATTTTATTATTTAAAATTTATCAACATTTGATTTTTTTTTTTATATGTACTGATGAAAACTCTAGTATTTTTAATATTCCTTTTGAACACGTCTACTGCGTCTCTTTTCGTATGCCCTTTTTGTATAAGACATAAATGAATCTTGGTTCCTCAATAAAAACAATAAGTGCACAACCAATAAAACAATCTTTTGTGATATTGAAAAACACTCATATATATATATATATATATATATATATATATATATATATATATATATATATATATATATATATATATATATATATATATATATATATAAATATATATATATATATATATATATATATATATATATATATATATATATATATATATATATATATATATATATATATATATATATATATATATATATATATATATATATGTATATATATATATATATATATATATATATATATATATATATATATATATATATATATATATATATATATATATATTTTAATTACATTATCTTTTATTCTAGAAATAAAAATATCAACTTGAAAATATTAATTTTATAATATTTCTGCATAATAAATTTCAAATCACAAGGATTTTATCAAAAATGCTAAGCATCAAATCATCGAAATATTTTGTGAACTATAATAGCATGTTATTTTATTATTTAAAATTTATCAAAAGAAGTAATTATTAATGTCTTCCATAGGTTAAAATCTTCATGTTTTTTCGCATTCCACATGGTTTTTAAATGGCGGTCATTTATAATTATCGCTCCGTAAAATTAGCCCAATATTTCTTCCTTTTTTTTATAACAAATCTATAAAAGACATCTTATAGACATCTAAGTTAAGATGAAAAAAAAATTATCTATGCACGATCTATTTTATGCATCTAATATGCATCTACAATCAGACGTCTTTTTTGATCTCTAATATACGTCTAAAATATACGTATCGGCAATAGATACAAATTAGACCAATTTTATAAGATTACATAGATTATAAAAGATTTTACTGTTATTAATAATGTGATATTTAAAACAATTTAAATTTAGATTAGCCAATAAATAAACAAATATTTTCTCGAGGTGAATTTTTTAAATAAGATCATATTATGAATATGACGCTAATTAAAAAATAACATTATATTTTATGATGTCATAAAAAAATTTAATTTCACCCAAAGGTAAAGCTAAAACTTTTTATTGCACGCTCCGCACACTGGTTGTTTTTTAATGTCTAAAGTGCTTATGGTTCCTGTCTTCAGTGTTTTTCCAATTCCTATAAATTTTTTTTCTAGGGTTTTAGTATTACTCTAGTCTATCTTGTTATAAAATTCATCAGCAAACCAATACAATGGCTAGCTATACGAAATAATTCTGCAGATTTTTTGTAATACCGGCCTTGCTTTAGGTATATATATAAATAGCAGGAACGGTAAAAGTGGCTCCTACTTTCTATCGTCTATTACTAATATAAGGATTTTTTTGAAGGTTAACAAGTTGAAATTTACATTTGTTTGTCATAAAATTTAAAAATAAGGCTGATGTTAAAGTTTTAAGCCAGGTGTTTAAGGTCATAGAACTTAAACACCTGGCTTATCGACATATGGCATATCTAATCCAGTCACAAATTTTGCTTGCCATTCTTCATAAATTTTAATCAACTAAAGTAAAAAATGTACTCAATGTTCGGAAACTCGGTGCTTGCTCCAATTTCTTCACCAATGACCAAACTTGGAATCCTATGACCACGTGATGCTTGAAAAAAAACAACAAAGGTTTGTCTATTTTTTTGCGAAAGACATTTGTCTAACATTCTAAAACACTGGTATTTACCAGTGTTAACACTGGTATTTACCAGTGTTAACATTGGTATTTACCAGTAATAACACTGGTATTTACCAGTGTTAACACATCTATCATATTCACAGCCCTCTATAAATAATATTCTTCAAGAAATTTTAAAATTCTATCAGTATTAGCTTCTGCCTGCCCGTCTTCAAGCACAGTACAGTTAATTTCACTTCAATCGCTTTTGATACTAAATCTGATATTCGTTATCATTAAGGCGCTCTGCATCAAAATGTAGAGATCAATGATGAGTTTTTATGTTTTTTATTATTTAAACTTTTTAGTTTAGGCAATAAAAAACCGTGGATCCGTGGTTGGAACCCCTTTTCTGGGCAAGTTCGACATCGTTTAGGAGGGAGGTGTGAACTTTCTATTAAATGCTATTTGGTGGTTCTTTGCGATAAGACCGTAAGCATTCCTGTTTTAAAACAATTAAAAACAAAAAGCGCAGCAGTTTAAAGATTAGCAATTATATAACTGTATTCTATTGCGATACCTAATCTTTGTCCCCTAACATCACTTTATGTATATAAGTTTTTAAATGTTTATGTATAAAATATATAAAAACTGAAATACTTATAGTTATCTTAGGGGAATAAACAATCTTAATATAGAAGGGTGGTGACGGGTTAAAACTTGATCTAGTTTAACAAAGTATTGATAAAAGCCAAAAAAGCCAAAAAAAAATCTAAAGACCTAATTAGTATTTAAATTGTATTGAAAAGACGCGTGACATACATACACAATTTCATAGTGTTATAATAATTTTTTAAATTTAGTTATTTGTTGATAGTAAAACTAAACTTTATTACTATCATCTTTTATTGTTTCTTATATAAAAACAATTTTTTTTAAGATCCTTGCAGATACAAAGGTTGTTCTCATTCTTGCAGTGTATATTATAGTCTCATAGCACACTGTTTTTGTCCTTCAGGATACATTTTGCAACCAGATGAAAAAACATGTTTAATTGGTATAACTTTTGTTTTTTGTTATTATTTACTTATGCGGTTAATTAAAAACTTTCTTTAAGTATAATTAATAAAATCAAATTTAAAATATTTTGTTTAAGAGTGATCTGATAAATACTTTTTTTTTAATAATATTGAATTTTATATGATGAATTTTATTAACATAATTAAGATTTAAAAATATAAAAAATGCATTCAATTGCTGTAACAAGCAATTAAAAATAAGTTTGACTATATGCAAATAAACGATATAAGTATAAATCACCCAGCACACTGTCCATCCTTGGTCAATACATGGCCAGTCATTAGTGTCATTACCGACCCAACCTGAGTAAATAAGCATGAGCCATACTACGAGTTGCTTACCTGGTCATTATATATATATATATATATATATATATATATATATATATATATATATATATATATATATATATATATATATATATATATATATATATATATATATATATATATATATATATATATATATATATATATATATATATAATATATATATATATATATATATATATATATATTTATATATATATATATATATATACGTGCTTTTCTTCCGTTTAAATGTTTTATATATTTACAAAACAGTTACTTATTTCTATCTATTTCTAAATATTTAATCAAAAAAAAAAATGGCTCAACACGAAGAATATGTATCTATAACAATGATGAGAGAAATAATGCACGTACAAAAAGAAACAATTATGGCTTTTTTTCGTGAAATTGCTAACAGTTTAAATATAAAAATTGACACGCTTTAAAAAGATGTTTATGATGTAAAAAAGGGACTTTGTGAAATTAAAGGAAGCATGAACTTAATTGGTGATGAATGGGAAGTCAAAGTAAAAGGTGATGATAATAAAATCGTAAAGGTAGTCGAAAAAATAATTAATGTAAAAAAATTACAAGGAAAACTCATTTCAGATAACACTGAACTCAAATCAAAAAGCGTAGACATTGAGGATAGAAATAGACGAAATAACTTACGGATTGATGGACTCATTGAAGGTGCAGATGAAAAAGATTGGGAAGACACTAAAAATAAAGTCAAAAAACTCTTTGTTGAAAATCTTGAAATTGCAAATGGTATTAGGATTGAACGTGCTCAACGAGTTGGTAATGGTGATTCTGAACGAGTGCGAACGATTGTACTAAAGCTGCATGACTTTGAAGATAAAGCGATAATTATGGATAAAGCGAACAAACTAAAAGGTACTAATATATATATATATATATATATATATATATATATATATATATATATATATATATATATATATATATATATATATATATATATATATATATATATATATATATATATATATATATATATATATATTACTATATGCTCTTTATTCACTATATGTATTTTTAAATATTTTATCTTCTTTTTTGACTAATTGAGGGTGTTTTTACTTTTGACTGATACATCTTCTTCTTTCTCTATTTTTATTCTTAAATATTATATCTTCTTTTTTACTATTTATTTTTTTTTTCCAAAATTTTATACTTGATTTATTAACCATATATTAACATATATTGGTATTGCGATCTGTAGGGGCTCTATGAAAAGCTTAGGTTGGTATTTTGCCATCCATATCTTCTTTGAGCCCCTGACTGTTTATTACTTGTACATTTGTAATTATATTTTATTTTTGGTGAAAGTAAATTGTAATTTATATAAACAGCAAAATAAAAAAAAATTAAAAAAAAAAAAAAAAAAAAAAAATATATATATATATATATATATATATATATATATATATATATATATATATATATATATATATATATATATATATATATATATATATATATATATATATATATATATATATATATATATATATATATATATATATATATATATATAGTCATAAGTTACTAATAATAAATCATCAATAAGTTACCTACTCAACTTGAAAGAAAAGTTTAAATAACTTTAACATTTGTTAATCAAAGTATTTAAAAAAAGTATTACTCACTGAAACATTTAACAAAAAAATAAGAAGAAGAAGAAAAAAAAATAATAAAAAAAGTTATTGTACTTCAAAAAAGAAATTAATTTCTTCAAACCAGGAGACACAATTTTTGTGCTCAGAACAAAATTTTACACTGAACAAATGGACAATAAGTATTTCTGGGGCTACTTGAGGTTTTGAAGTTTTTGCGACAACCTAACTGATAAGTTATAAACTATTTATAATATAAAAACATTAAGTTATGCATATTCGACTCTCTAGTTTAGAAATTTTATAATATCAACTGTTAAGTTAAACATTCAAATTAAAATCAACACTTTTATTAAAAACTTCAAATTCTTTTTAGTTTCAAAATTATTTAGTACAATAAGTACAATTTAAAAAAATAGGTCTTGCATTCTCTCAAAATTTTAAGACTTTAAATAAAATAGAAAGTTTCAAAACTTAAATTATTTCTACAAATAAATGTCTGTATATTTTTTTAAGCTGTTTTTCAGCAGAAACACTTTTAATACGTAATGACATAATTTCATCGAATCCATTGTTATTTTAATGTTCGAATAAAACTTCCGCTAAATTAAAAAAGGCAATATATATATATATATATATATATATATATATATATATATATATATATATATATATATATATATATATATATATATATATATATATTTGAATGCATACATGCATTCAAACATACATGCATATAACATACATACATGCATTCATGTATGAATGTGTCAATGGGTGGAGTGAAAATAACATTTTTCAGAAAGACAACTTTTTTCCCAGATTTTTGTATTAGCTCTAAGTAAACTAAAAAAACGAAATTAAAATGAGCAGAAATGGACAAGAATTACACCCGGCAGCAAGTTTTGACTAATGGTACTACTAGCGCGTATTTTAAATTAAAATTTATTTTTTTAAGCAGAAATTACAAAAATAAAACATATTAGCTTTAATTAAATTACCCATTAGTATTATGACCAAAATAATAACTTTTGTATTAAAAAAGTTTTTAATTTTTTAAAACACATTTAAAAACAAAAAAGAAGGCCAATATTCAATTGAAAAAATTGAATATTAGCAATAAATTTTAATAAAATACAGGCTCTACTTGAAGTTTCGATACAAACCATTTTTTTAAATTTTAGTAAAAATATTTTTTTGTAAATAAAAATATTATTTATAATTCAAAAATAACTTCTTTATAATGTACTATACATTTATTAAAAATTTTATTTAAAGAATATGTTGAATTGACATAATATTTTTCAATATAAAGTTTGAACAGATTCTTTTGATTTAATGAATGAACCCATCCTTTTGATTTTTCAGTGGTGCACCTGCCATTAGAACATGATGCGATGCGGCATCTGATGTATTGCCGAGAAAATGTAATCAATCTGTACTGCATACCGTTTTTTCAAATAACATTAAAGCAATATATATATATATATATATATATATATATATATATATATATATATATATATATATATATATATATATATATATATATATATATATATATATATATATATATATATATATATATATATATATATATATATATATATATATATATATATATATATATATATATATATATATATATATATATATATATATATATATATATATATATATATATATATATATATATAAAATTAATAGATACATTCATAAATATATAAATATATTTTATATATATATAGTTTTATATATATTTTTATATATAAAATCAATAGATATATTTATAATTATATAAATCAAATCATAAGAGTACTCTTATATAATTCCTAGGAAGAAATTTAATTTGTTGTCGTTCAGTAGAATAATTTGCCTAAGTTTTGTTTTAAATTGGTTTAGCAAAGAGAGTGTTTTAAGATAACTATTTAAAACTGTATTTCATAGTTTAGGTCCTCGATTAGTAATTGCCTTAAGCGACGAATCTTATAAATCTTAATAAGATTTCCTAATAAGATTGTTAGTAAGATTAGTAAGACTTGCAAGACGTGCAAGAAAACTAGTAAGATCTTAGTAAGATTTGAAAGTTTTCGTGCGATTTACTAATAAGATTTGTAAGAAATGTAAGATCTAATTAAGATATGTAAGTTTTTGTGCGGTTTTTTATTAAGATTTGTAAGAAATGTAAGATCTTAATAAAATTAGTAAGATTTATCTTAATTTCTTAGTAAGATATACAAGTTATAGTATGAATTCTTAGTAAGATTTGTTAGATCTCACAAGATTATTTTGTTTTTATTTCGATTTTACTAAATTCCAAGCATATATTAGCGTAGAGAATGCTAATAAATAAAACAATTTAGTACTTTAATAAATTTTTTCTCAAAACAAATTCATAATAAATAATACAACAGAGCTTATGTTGATAATATAAATAATACTTATAATAAATAGTACAACAAAAAATATATGCAAGATTATTTTATACTGCATAGACACTTTAAATGAGAAAATTGTATTTAATAAAACCTTAAAAGAGAGAAATCATTACCGACGAAATATAATATTACTCATAAAAACTTTAAACTAAACTTTTTTCAGGTGCTCACAAATAAAACAATTTAAAACTGCAATACGCTTTATAAATTTGCAATATGCATTATAAAACTGCGCGTAGTTTGACTGTTCAATTATTTCTGTTTTAAAACAAGTTTCATCTCACTGATATCGTTTACAGCTGTGTCAACAGCCTGTTTACTAAAGCGTTTTACAATTGCGTCTGACCACTAAAGCATTTTACAATTGCGTTGGGTTTACATATAATTGTTTAGGGTAACTTTTTCTGTTTTTATGTTTTTGTATCGACTTAGAAAGACTTTAAACTTTCTGTACTAAGAGATTTTGTGTCAAATTAATATTGTATTATGACAATTCGTTAACAACAATGATACATAGATCAACACCCTCCTATTTCAATAGTTTAAAGAAGAAAAATTATTATTATTTTTAATTAAATGTTATCAATTTTAAAGTTAATTTGAAAAAAATAAATAAAAGAAGTTATTACACAAGACATAACACAACACTATAACAACATTATAACAAATACCATACCAAGATTGAGACTCTTTTGCATTGTTGAAGACAGGAAAAACAACAGTTTCACATATTTGTGCACCCAGTTGCACTAATTTGTGTCTTTATCCATCCTATTCATCGTGTACTGGTGTTAAACTTTACTCCAAAAAAAAGTATTATGCATAACTAAGAAATTTGAATATGATTATGTACAGAAATCAACTAACAGTCATATATAACATATATAAAGCCAATTTAATCAAACCCAAAATGATATTTTTATTAAAATTAAAAACATGAACTAATGTTGGTTTTGTCGTGTAGTCTCCAAATAAACATAATATTTAATAATTAACAACTATTTCTATTCTTCTCCCAGCATTCCAGAGTATGTAAGACGTTGTTTTTCTTAAGCAAATAAACTAAATATAAAACAGGGTGTCTGCCAATATTTATATAAGGATTTCCCTGACTTTTCCCTGATTCTAAACCTGTTTTTGCTAACTTAATTTAAAGCAACAAAAGCTCAACTTTAGAGAAAATCAGCTTAAATTCGTTCAGAAAAATGCTTTAGTGCAAATATATATAAACATAATTACAAGATACATTCCCATTATCAATACAAGGACATAAAAAAAATCTTTTGAATAAATTTTTACATAATGTGTATGATACAATACTGACATTGGTCATGTTTATTCGCCACATAGCCACTTTCCCTGATTATTTCAAAATACAACCCAATTGCCATGATTATTCCCCGGTTTTTTGCAGAAATCTAACCTCCATTATTTCCTTGATATGACCCACACCTTGTAATAACTTCCACATAATCTTTATACACATTCTGAAAATGAAATATTGCATTATTTTTAAACCATGAATCAATTGTGTTATTTTGCAATAATTGGGGGTATGTACTTAAGTACATACCCCAATAATTGTACAATTATTGGGGTATGTACTTAAGTACATACCCCAATAATGCAAAAAACCATAACAACTGCAATCAATTTAATAATTTTCCTTAAACAACTAAAATTCAATGTAATAAATAAATCTTAACCATTAGTCTGTATAAAATTATTATTAGGAATGCATGTATTACATATTATTCTAAAATATTACAATTAAACATTTTAAACCTCACACTTTAAGAGATTTATTTATTAAAAA